AGGGATGTCAGAGGTTTTGTCTGTTTTCTTCACTGCTATGTTCCCAGTGCCCAGAACAGTGACTATTCAGCCTAAGTGCACAATAAACATTTGTTGAATGAATAATTGACCATAAAGGGAGGACACAGCTGAAAATCCTTTTCACAATTAATTGCCTAACACTTGTACTTTACAAAGGCATTTTTACTCCCCAGTCCTATTCTAGGGCTTCCCTGATAACTCAGTTGGTAAAGAATCCTCCCGCAATGCAGGAGACCCTGGTTTGATCCCTGGGTTGGGAAGATCCCCTGGAGAACGGAAAGGCTACCCACTCCAGTATTCTGGCTTGGAGAATTCCATGGACTCTATATAGTCCATGGGGTTGCAGAGTCGGACACCACTGAGTGACTTTCACTTTCATCATATTCTAGCCTTAGAACAGTTGTGTGAGGTCAGTAAAGCCTGCATTGTTATTGCCCCCAACTTACTGATGGGGGGAAAAAAAAAATTTCATGTCTGGGCACATTAAATTTTCTAGTTCCCCAACTAGCCCTTGAAGGCAAGGATCATAATTCACTAAATTTTTTAACCCTGTTAATTGCAAGTCAATTGCAAATTTCCTTATAAATGGTAAATGCACAATATTGGTTAAATGAATAAATGATCCCCTGATACCATAAATGTTAAGTGGCCCCATCCTTGTGAGAGCACAGGGCTTCCTAGCCCACTCTCCTTTCAAGATGGCCACCAAGCTGTCCTGAGCCAACTTCGCCACCTGGTGGCTGTTGGGGAAATCGCCTTTTCTTTCTTCCCCAGGGTTTCAAGTTACGCTTTTTCCTTCATCACTACTGGCTCAAATCTATCTCTGACAATCCTTCTTCTAGGTTTACATACCTTCTAAATCTCCTTTCCTTTTCTCTTTGGAATTGTATGTCTTACCCTACTCTACTCTCTCCAGATTATTTAAAAGTAAAGGACAACCAACCAACCAACTCCAATCATGACTGAGAAGTCAAACTGTAATGCTCTGGTAGCAGTGAAAAGGGAAGACATATATTTTGAAGTAGAAACAGACTTAGGGCCATTCAACCTTCAGAGTGCTCCAGGACCCCTTACAGTCTCTCCATAAGTCTTCATCTAATTCCTTATCCCATCAAATCTGCCTGCTTTGAAACGTGTTTTCCCTTGTCAGTTAACATTCACTTCTATTTTTCTGTTTTTTAAAAATTCCGACAACCTCTACCCAAACACCTATAAGATGTCAACATAGTGCCTCAAAGATAGCAAGATATGTTTTTGGAAAAAGAAAAGAACTTTGCTTTCTTCCTATTTTTTTTAATGTGGCACACAACCATTATAATTATGTTTCTACCAAGTGTAAAATTCCATATCTTATGAATAGTTCACTTAATAGACTTAGGGGGAGGAGAAACTTGGAACTTTGACCATCATTTATAACATCGTTTCTATGAGGTACAAATATACTGAGTCCTACGTGGTGATTAAGAAAGAAACTTTTGGGAACATAATCTATTTGAGAGTTAAGACCTTCAATCTCCCTTTCTGACTGCAGCACAGATTCTTATTAGGCTCCAAGGGACACACACACACGCATCCCCACCACCTTACCCCCCTTTAAAAATACCAAAAATCCAAATAAATCCCTTCCACCCCTTCACCTCCATCCCCTGCCTCTATCAGGAAATGCAATGCCTCACTGCAAATATAAAAGAGTAACAACATCAAAGAGGGAGAGCTTGGTCGAGGGTGGGCCCAGCTGGATCTTCAGATTGTATTCCCTTTTTAAGGCCTTTTGGGCTTCACTGCTCTTCTGCAGAGGGAAGCAGTGCTGAGGGCTGGTGCCCTGGGAGGTGGGCAGCCAATCCTACTACCTTCTTCTATTTAGTTCCAGATATTGTGTTTGCCTTGTCTTAGCTCAGCATTTCATGCTTTCTTTTTCTCCTTCCCCATATTCCTAGTTTGGTCTTTTGCTGTAGTATTTTTCCAGAACGCTTTCCTTTCTTTTTCTTTATTGAGGCATAAAATTTCACAGTAAAATACACAGGTCTTAAGGTCGCTGAGTTTTGGCAGGTATGTGTCTGTGTTACCATGGCCCAAATCAAGATATAGAACATTTCTAGGATCCCAGAAAGTTGCCTTGATCTCCTTTCCAGTGAACCTTCTCCCAGAGGTAACCACTCTTCTGAATTCTATACCCAGTTATGAACTTCATGTAAATAGAATCATATAGTATATTTCTTTGCTTTCCTTTCCATACCAGAACACTGGCAATGAAAAGGTATAAATATAAACTTCTTTTCTTTTCCAAGATCGTCAAAAGTTAACATCCCAAATGCTGACAGTAGTGACCTCTGGTCAGGAGGGGTTTAAGTGATTGTTACTATCTTCATTATATATTCTAATCTAGTTTGTGTGTATGGGTTAGTTGCTCAAGTGTGTCTGACTCTTTTCAAGCCTGTGGACTATATATAGCCTGCCAGGCTCCTCTGTCCATGGAATTCTCTAGGCAAGAATACTGGAGAAGGGTAGCCATCTCCTTCTCCAGGGGATCTTCCTGACCAAGGGACAAAACTGGGTCTCCTGCATCGCAGGCAGATTCTTTACCATCTGAGCCACAGGGAAGCACTAGTCTAGTATAGAGATATACATATAATTTTATAATAATGAGAAAAAAAAAAAGCTTTTTCATGGGAGGTGGGGCCATGGCTCTTGGGGAGAGTGAAGACATGAGGTTCAGAATGAGTGTGGGGATAGAGCCCTGGCCACCTGAAGGCTGTGAACACACTCCCTGGCTAAGGACTTGCTAGTGGCAGGGGACATGGTACACCATCTCAAAGTCAGAGACACCTTGAGCTATTTCCTATCTGGAGTCTCAATTATCCTGTTAGATGTGGAATTATTTGCTCAAAGGATTTCTCCAACCTCCAACTCTTCTGCTTAAACCTTAGCAAAGAAAAGCATTGTCCAAGCAAGAGTTAAAAATGCTATTAAAGTCATGAAAAAAAAACACACATATGCAACTTTAAACTCTTGCTCACACATTTGAGAGATGCAAGTAAAGCAAATGGTAATTGAACAAAATATACAAATAATAATACAGCAAAAATTGTAGATAAAATCTGTACACTATGGTCTCTAACATTTGAACTCAGATAGTGGCAACTCCTTGTTCTGTTTCCTTGATGGTCTTGCGATACAGATTGGTATGTACATGGAGAAAGAATGTGTGTAAGAGGGGCAGAAATGAAGAAAAAGTTTTGAATCCCAAAATAACATTCGCAGAAATACTTAAAACAAAGAGAAAACAACCTAGCAATTTCACAACAGAATACAAGGCCTAACTCCGTTGGTTAAATGGTCTCATATGTGGTATCTGTGGAGCTGGGAGGCTTGGAACGAGCCAGCTCAGGCCAGTGCCAGGGTTCTGCGTGAACTGGCTGGGCAGTGATCATGTACTGATAGTTCAACCTTACTGAGCCTGTTTCTGCTTCTTTAAACTGCAGTGATAGTGTCCGTACCCACCTGAAGGGGTTGGTGGGTAGGATGACTGAAGTGAGGTGTGAACAAACTCCTTATGCACCGTATATACTAGCCATATGCCAACTGCTTATTGTCTCTTCCAGAATTGGAATAAATGCTCTGGAGAGAATGGGGGATCCACACTCTGGTGGACTCAGGAGCAAAGTGTTCTCTTTTCTTACCCTGTGGGACTTCCTCACAGGGGAAATGAGATGGTGCGGTGGTGGGGGTGGGGTGGGGTACTAGAATCAGATAGACCCTTTCCTTTACTAGCTGTGTGTATGTTAGGTGAACCCCTTAACATTTCAGAGCCCCTGTTTTCTTATCTGGAAAGTGAGAAGTATTTTGATGGATTGTTCTGAAGACTGGATGAGACAGGTCCTTGTAATAGGTGCTTAGCCCAGTACCCTTGGCAGGTGCCATGAGTGATAGAAATGGACCATCTCATGTAAGATGCTCCGGTGGCAAATGAACAATTGTTCAATGAAAAAGATCCTTTCTTGTTCCCAGCACTCCTGAGCATCTGCTCCTTAAACCAGGATGGGGGGTGGGGTGGGCTCAGAGCAAGGGGCAGAAACGTGGAACTCTTAACACTTCCACAATTAGAACAAAGTTTTCTATCACACTGGGCAGGGGCAAGACAAATCACCTGGATGAAGGAAATACTACAGATGGGCCAGATGTGCTGAAGTCCATCTGGGGGAGATCCACATGGTTGGCACTGTGATCCACCCTTCATCTGGAAGCCCTGGCGTCCTGTGCGTGTTCAGACGCCTCCCCAGGCAGCCAGGCTCTGAGACTGCAGCCTGGGGAGGAGGGGTCAGTTGTTTTATTTTTAGCAACATGAAGACATTTTCCCACTTCCTAGTCCCCAGCTCATTTTAGCAAATACCCCAGAGTCCAAGCCAGGGACCGAGTCGCGAGGGCATAGCCTGCACTCTACCACGTCGGCAAAACCCTTTCCCTAAGGCTGGGGACTGGACCAGATCAGAGGAGGACTTCGCGTCTCGCTGAACCCGGGGTTTTGCCTGAAGTGGGAAGCCCATCTCTTGGTCAGATTTTAGCCGAGTTTCATTGCTTTGTTCCACAAGGTGTTCGCCAGGTAGCCATTTGGGAGATCTACTTGCAAGAAATAAACAGCTCGCCACACCCTGCCTCCTGGCGGTCTCTGATCCCTCTTGTCCTTTCTCCAAGTCTTCCTCCCGCCCCTCATTCCCCCTTCCCTTCCACTCCAATTTCTCTTCCGGACTCCCAGGCCTCAGAAGTAGACCCCTCAGGTTCATCGGGCTGTAAAGTCGGGGCGTTTCTCTTTCCTGATGCTTTAGTCGGCACCACTAGACTTCAATGATCTTTGTTCCTCCCTTCATAAACTGGATCTCCGGCTAATAACCTAGGGACATCTGAAATCCCGATTCCGTTCCACCTGGCCCCAGCCCTCCTGCGGGAGCTCCTGACTGCCTGCTTTCTTCGGCTCTTAATAGATGTTAGAAGCGGACCACCTGATCTGCAAGCGGTCTAAGCCACATACAGCTTTTCCAGGCGCGGGGTCGGCCGAGGGCGGCTGCAGGTTGGAGCCGGGCCCCGCGTGCGCGCCCGCGTCAGGCGCCGAGGCCGGAGCCGTCATTCCGGCGTCTGGAGCCCAGAACCCGGGGTGAAAGGCCTCCGCTGCTCTCGCAGGCGCCGCAGCCGAGCATATGCTGCACTCTCCAAATTCATTTTTAATTCATGACATCAGTGTAGGGACCACAGGAGCCTCTAAACAGCCTCTCTCAAAACCAAAACAACCACGCGAGCGGGGAGAGGGGCGGCCGCCCAGCCCAGAACGTCGGCTCCTCGGTCCCCAGGGACTGGGCATTTGGAAGCCACTTTCCAGAGCGAACCTGCTGTCCCTTATGGCAGAGTTCCCTCCCTCCCCCTACCCTCTTCGGTCCCTGGAGCCGAATTTGGACTCCAGGGTTATTTGTTATAAAGACATGGCTGGTGTCAAAATGGTTTCGATTAGGATTTTTTTAAATAACGTTGCATGAAAACGATCAAATATGTACTTGCAGGAAGATTAAAGGCTTCCCTAAATACTTTTACACACATAAAATAAATATATTTATATGTACTTATATATTCAGAACTATCTACATACAGTATAATATATAATGTATAAAAATGTTAAATAACTGATACAGTATTGTAATATTAGAGGTTAAATATATTCCAAACAGTACATAATATGATGAAATCCATATAGTATATATTCTATATTAAACAATATAGAAAACAAACGCCCATATGTAAAATATATTATATTAGACAGAGTATCCTTCTCTGAAATATCCAAGGTGCTGGAACTGGGTGTCGCTGAACCCCAGCTGAGCACAGGGCACCTAAAAGGAAGGAGGGAGGCTCACGGTGGTTCCCGGGTGCTGATGCTGCCACCCCAGCTCCCCACAAGACACCCAAGTGTCTTGGACTGGATCAGCTCCTTATGGGAGTGAGGGAGTTAACAGATTATCTCTTAACGGAGGAGGTCAGACTCCAAATTGGGGGGGGGGGGGAGACAGATTTCCTAAAGGAGACCTGAGGGCATCCATTCCCAGGACCACTGCAAGCCCTGAATCTGGCCTTCTGTACAGCGAGTGTAAACCTAAGTGTTTTCTCAGGCACCTAAGACAACTTTAAGGGCCATTTTCCAACGTAGGCATTTAGAGGCAATTTGGAGATTGAAACGGATTTTTATATGCAAGACGTGAACGTTCTGGAGGCCCTTTAAAGTTGTGGTTAGAAAGGCGGTTAACAAACCCGCGGATGGGCTGCAGGAGACGACTCAAAGCAAAGCAAAATGCAGTTAGAAATTTGATATTAACCGCGCACTCGCCAGTCCTGCAGCCTATCATCGCGGCGTGCTTACTCTTCTGGTGTTGGGGGAAATAGGAGACACTGACAGCGAAGTCACCCTTAAAAATCATCTCGTTTAGACGGGAAAAGATAGCTCAGTGGCTTACTGGCAAACCAAAACAATGTGCGTGGGAATTCGTTTTTCTCCGGAGTTACCCAGGAGCGGAACCTCAAAATCAGTAGTGTGGAAGATGGGGGAGGAGGGTGGTAAACGAGGGCGGTTTTCGATGGAAAGGAGCGGCCCGCCTCAGAGCGGCCTCCGGACCCCAAGCCCCTCTCCGAGCCCCGGTTCCCGAGTCGGAGGCCCGGGGCGCACGCCACTGGGAGCGCCTGGCGGCGGGGCCGTGAGCGGCCCCGGGGCGCGCCGCCGCGCGAGAGCTTTTATTTGCAGCCTCTTGAACTCTCCGTTTCCGGTTCTCTTCCCTTCGAGCGCCCTGTCGTGGAGTGTTAGACAAGCCCTGTCGTCTGCGGGCTCTCACCTCAGAGTCAATATTATCTCAGATGGGCACAATAGACTGGAATGAAAAGCTAATATTGAACCAATGAGGTCCCTGCCCGCGCCGCCGCGATGCCACCCTTTGCTGCGCAGCCCGGGGCGAGCGGCTGGCGGCCGAGTTAAGTGCGGGGCGGCTGCGGCCCGGCCTCTCAGGGTCAGCCCCCCCGGGGTGTGGCTGGGTGGGGGGACACACGGGACGCAACTGAGCTTCGGGCCGCCGGCAGTGGGGCCTCACTCTCGCCTCTCCTCCACCGCCAGGGGCTTGGCGGGGTCTCAGGAGAAGCGGGCAGCACCGCATGCCCCCCATCCCCGAGCTCAGACGTGGAGGGGCCGCAACTAGGGGAGCGGGCTTGGTGTGCCCAACCTCCGGCTGCCCTCCCCTGAATGTCAGCGTGGTGGGCAGCCCAGCAGCTTCGGGGCCCTCCCCTTCAGAAGGCTCCTTCCGGATTGTCCTGGGGGGGCCGCCTGTAAGTAAAGATCGCCAGGGCCAAGGCTCCTCAGGAAGGGGGCGATCAGACTCTCCCTGTGGGCCTCTTCGGAAGCTCCCAGCTCCCGGCCACTCTTCTGTCCCCTGGCCAGGCTAGCTCCGCGCAGGCTGGGCACAACTAGCGAGGCAGAGGTCGGTGGCTAGGCCAGGGACTTCGGGGCGCCTTGCTGGCTGCGAGGGGGCCTCGGGCCGCGCTCTGGGATCCCCGACGCCGGCGCAGGGCCGCTCTGTGGGTATCCGCGGAGGTTTCAGGGCCGCTTTGAAGAGCAACAAGGGGGTGTGGAGCGAACGAAGTCTCAGCCCGGTCAGCCCCTGCGCTGACTGGCCGCAGTGAGGCCTCCGACCCTCTGATCCTAAACTCGGGGCTTTAGTCCGCAGAAGACTAGCCGGGAGGAAGCAAGAGGGTGTCGGGTGAGACCTAAGGTGGAAACAGTGGCCTGGAGGACAATAGTGGGCAAGTGAGTTCGAGGCAAGTGATGGGGTACGCGCCTGGACTGGCTTCGCAGCGTGTTCCGTCAGCCTGCCGAGTCTTCGCTGCCATTTCTCATTGGCTTCAACGCATTGACGTTGGACGCTGGGGAGCTGGGAGTGGAAGGAGCCCGGCTCCAAAGCTCCTTTCAGATGACCTCTCTGAGCCTCAATTTTCTCATCTGGAAAATGGGTATTATGACTCTATACCAGATTACGAGGTTCACTGAGAACTGGGTGTGTACAAACATGCCTTTAAAAGCTAAAATTCGTTACAGGGAGAGGAATTGCCCTTCCAAGTCTTCCCCAATATCCTCCCAGGGTTTCTTGGAGAGCTGCATCGTCCAAGAGAAAAAGCTTCCAGTTTCTTTCTTTCCTCCAATGGCCATGATCTTTCTAAGCCCTAGTCCAGCCCCCAGAGCCCAGAAAACGAGGAAGTACAAGAAGAGGAGACAAGTTCCTGAGAGAGGGCCTGGCGGCCCGCCGGCGTTTCATAAACTGCCCCTAGGTTTGAAAGTGGATTGCCACTGACACCCCCAAGGATGTCCTGAAAGGACTGGGCCTCACTAGTTACAAGGTCCGTGAGGGGTGTCAAGAGCGGAGTCTGGAACGAAAAGATGGCAGAGAAGGTAGCATATGAGTCAGCAGATGAGTTCCCCGCCGCCCGTGCTGGTCCTGTGACCCTGTGGTGCAGGTCACCTTATCCGGCCGCAGGCAGCTCCAGCAACAGTCGATGACCTGGCGGCCCAATGAAGCCAAAGCTTTTGGGACTGTTGGAGGGGAAAGCAACAGCTCTAGATACCCACCCGCGGGGCGAGGGCAGGGGAGAGGGAGCTGTCTCCACCCCTGACCGGGCAGTCGGCTGAGCAAACGCGTCCAAGGTCCTTAATCCCTGTGTCTGTCGGTCTGCCCCCACGCCTATCTTTGCTTGGGTTTTAGACTTTCATTTGAAGGTAGCCAAGGGAATAGAGAAACCTACACTTGCTCTGATGTTTCTTTGCTTTCAGTAGTGAAAAGGCACCGCCTGTGTGTGGAGAGACTTGACGAGTCTCAGCGTCGTGAAGGAGGAAACGCGACGGTCAGGTCCTGAACTTTCCGCGTCAGTGCGGAGCTCCTGGCTCCCGAAACGCTGGCTCTCAAAAGGGATGGATCTCCGAGACCCAGACGCTGGCAGCCTCCTCCTAACATCCGGAGAAGGATTGGGCGTGTTTCCTGCAGTCGTCTGGGGCTGCAGAAGCCTGGACCTGGGGAGGGCTCGGTGCCGCCCCCCCCACCCCCCGCGCCCCAGTGGACGCTTTGAACAGTTACACACCGGTTTCCAGTGAACCCCGCTCGGATTCCAGGACTTCATCTCATGGAGGAACCGACTTGCCCTGGGACAGATAAGGATTCCCGGAGAATGGGGCCGGTCATCACGGCCGCCCTATCCGACTGCCTGATCAACTGCTACCCCAGTAATAACCGGCGTCCTCGGCCGGCCGTGAGGGGGCGTGACGTTAGGAGAATCGCACGCGAGACCCCCACGGGAGAGAACCGCACGGGAAAGCTCTCTACCCAAGGCCGGGCCAGCTCAAGACACCATGGGCCCATTCTGAGCCACCGTGGTCAGGCTGCAGGATCGAGGACCTGACGCATGAAATCGTGGTCTCATCTGCGCGGTATCGCCCCGACAACAGGTGATCGGAGCCTCGCCTTCCTTTTTGGAGCACAACTCTCTTTTTCTTTGCACCCTTCCGAAAAGTCCTACTGGGGTGGAGCTGGAATTCAAGCGTGGGTGGTGAACTCTGAAGCGGCGAGCCGATGGAGGGAGGAGAGACGCATTTCCAAGCTGCCCTCTCTTCCTCTGAGCCAACTTTGACGTTCTTTCCCGGCTTAGGCTGCGGTCGCGGGAAGGTCTTGGCAGTGGGGCAAACACGGGGGCTCAGCCGCCGGCGGGGATGCGACTAGCGCCCGGCCCTCGCCACTAGGCGCCGCTGCGCGCACGCGGATACCCGCCCCGGGCCGCCGCGCCAGCCTAGCGAACGGCCTCGAGGGAGGACAGCAGAAAGGGATTTGCCGTAGTAACAATTTTAAGAAATGTTTTTAGGATATTAATTTTCCCCTTCTTTGTCCCACCGCCGTCCTACGCATATGGAATGTCCGCGTGGCTAGGAATCACAGTGGGTTGGAGGAATTCTTGGCTGGGTCCCAAGGATCTCCCCATCCTGGACACCTTTCTCATGCCTTGGTCCCGGGAAGCAGCTTCCCCTACACCGACGTCGGCACTTCCCGCGCTGCTAGGCGGGCCCACAGTACAGCCTCATGGTACCGCTCAC